CATTGGGTTTGGCCATTTAGGATCTCACCCTACAACTTCCTGCAGCTCAAACACCCACATGGACATCACAGCCCCACCTGGACCCMGCTTCCAGCAGGCTGAGAAAGCTCCACCAAAGCTTCAGAGACCTCTGCCTGCTGGTGGAATGGGGCAGACCCACAGGTTTATTTTACATTTCCAGTGTCCCCAGCACCCCCAGTATCTGCCCACACATTCCACACTCCACAGGGGTTGTTCTGGAGAAGATGAGATGCTATCAGGATGGCACCAAAACCCTCCTCTCCCAGGTCCTGGCAGTTACCTTGGGGAACCTCTCCTTGTAGACATGGTTCATCATCACCACCTCATTATCGAACGTTCCGCTCGTCCGTCCAGGGCTGCGYGGGGAGGGAGGAAAGCAGAGGCATTTCGAGGTTTTGCATCTATGCAAATATTCACTGACCACAGAGAGCAGTTYGTTCCCTCCTCCTTGTGATTCCAGGGGGTCAAAGCTCATCCACGTGGAGCCATCAGCCTTGGGCCAGCACTCCCAGCCCTTGGGTGTGGTCCAGGGAAGGTTGACCTCCCACAGACCCAGGTCCCCAAACCCAATCAGCCCCAAACAGAAACTCACAGCCAAGAAAAACTGAAAATCCCAAACATCTGGAACCTTTCCAAGTCATTTGGAAATACAGAGCTGAGAAGTCCTCAGGAAATCCAGAGTTCCATCAGCCCGCTTGGCTTTGAAGAACGAGCTCGTCCTTTCCTTCCTCTGGATCCCAYCATTTCTTGCCATCATTGCCCTTTTTGCAGCTCACAAAAAACCCCAACTGGATGCAGGAACTTCATTAAACATGGGTTTTGTCCTTCCCTCACTCAACACTGCCCCTCCCAGGGCCCTGCTTGTGATCCCGTTACGCAAAGCGAGTCGCAGGAGCAGCCAGCAACTCATTAACCACTATAAAATAATAAATGGGGTGATTAAAACCAGCCCCAGCTCCAGCCTTTGCTTTGCCAGCTGCAGAGCTGCCACCCCCTCAGTGAAAACCCTACCTCTTAAAAGCCCTGTCAGATAATTAATTTGATTTTAGTGAAATTTCAACCAGCAACACGCAGGGCTGTGGCTCTGCCTCTGGTAGCAAAGAGGGTCGGGAGATTTTCCAGAGGGAAAAGAGGATTTAACCAAAACAACCCCAGGTTCTGGTGCTGGACAAGTGGGTGGCCTTGGAGCAGCAACAGCAGTTTCACAGGGTCAGCTCACACAGCCCTAAGGCCACTGGCTTGATGCTTTCTCCAAATTTTCCTCTCTCCAGCACACAAATGCCTGTTCACCTGTGCTCCTTGTGGTTTGAGGGGGTTTTTTTGGATTTTTTTTTTTTTTTGGCAAAGGAAAAGAGCAGCTCCAGCTCACAAAGATGTGTGTTTTCTTGTCCGAGTACAGAATTGGGATTTTTAGCCTTTCAACAGCCTGAGAAGATGCACATRCTTGGGCTTCTGCTGGTGATCCCCTCCTCACCATCAAAATCATTCAGACAACTGAGCAAAGGCTTCAAACCAAMTGCTGTGGCAAAAATCCCACTTTCTGCAGCTTCAGCCCTCGGAGACAGGTACTGCCTGCTGCCAGGAGAGCAGCGCCACGGCCCCACAGCCAAGAAGGTGCTGAGAACAGACCTGAATGCCCTTGGAGTTTATAATCACAGAATCATGGAATAGTTTGGGACATCTTCCACAAGACCAGGTCGCTCAGAGGATGAGGCACCTGCAACCTCAAGCCAGTTTCTCCTTTTCCCCTTTCACAAGTGGAAAACCCATATCAGGGCTTGGGACAGGCTTAGGAGGACCAGGACACCCCAGGAASAGCTCATGAGAGGATGCTCTGGATGTGCCAGCTCTTGGTGGACCATCCTGGCAGGTCCATGRGTGCCTCCCCAACAGTTGAGAAGATGCTGGGAACCAGACCTGGATGCCCTTGGAGTTTAGAATCACAGAATCATGGAATAGTTTGGGACACCTTCTGCTAGACCAGGTC